CATACATACAGACACACATACATACAGACATACACACATACATACAGACACACATACGACACACACATACATACAGACAGACATAGATACACAAACATACAAAGATTCATACAGACACACATACCTTACTCTAGGGTCCAGTGGCTCAGCCTGATGGGAGTCAGAATTCCTACTCTGACTCCCTCCTCTCCTTCCAAACGCGCAGCTCCCGGTGATTGCTGCGAGGAAGTGACCGGGACAGTCACTTCCTCCCTGCGCAATCTGACATCATCAGAAGGGGCCCCCTGTTAAAGCGCTGACCGGGCCCCCTGTTAAAATGCTGACCGGGTCCCTGAAGATACATAGCATCGGGTGGCCCTAACAGCATGGGCCACCTGATGGGCCCCTTCAATGCGGCCATGGCGGTTCCGCCCCTGAGTTTGGTATATTTAAGGATTGTGTGTGGATTAGTTTCCACTGCCTCTTCTTTCAACATTTCTTTATTTTGTTTGACTTCCTTTTCTTTTTAAAGATCTCTCCAAAATACCTCAACCTTATTTCCCCATTCACATTCCAAAGAATTCTATCAAAAACCCTTTGACTTAACTCCCTCAAGGCACAGTAAATGTGATAATAATATTTTTCACATACCTCATTTCTGTGTAGCAGTGCTGAGCTTTTGATGGTGAATTGTCTTGTGGTGTTGAGTCTAGCCTCAACACCACAACTTCTTTGTGTTCCAGTGATGTGTGGCGATAGAGGGATATGATGTCAGTCATGCGTCGCCAGGAAACAGAACCCTAAGCTGGTGCTGGGCAGAGCCTGCTTTCTGTAGATTAGGGCCTCGGTCATGCTACTTTGCTGCTCAGGAAGGTAGCTGGCTGAGCTCCTGAATGCTTGTGTACTAGTTGGGGAGTTCTCTGAATTTTATTGGGTTCATGAATAATTAAACACAAGCAGGCCGCCAAGAGTCTCTGGCCCTCAGTGTTTGACTGATTTGCCCGAGTGCTCAGTTCACCCCTGCGTGCACCTTGTAATGTTGTGCTCCTGTATGTCAAATGTGTTTTGTTAGAATTGTGCATGACTGAATTATTTTGTGATGGGTCCTTTAAGGTAGGACGACTATAAATAACTAATTCTGACATTGGTCATGATGGGATTAAATAAATCGACCCTCACTGAGAACACTTCCTGATCCTCTACTCATGGATCAGCATACTACAAGGTTGATGGGCACAAAAGTGGAGGGGGGACTGGGACACATGCAGAGGAGTGGGAGCAGGGCTCGAGTCCTGCAGGAACGTGAGGGAACGGTGTTCCTGCACTTTTTTTACAGCTGGAACGCTGTTCCTGCAGGCACTCAGTGTTCCCCCTGTGTTCTCCCAGTGTTCCCCCTGTCATGGGAGGGCCCAAGAGGTGGCCTAATGGCCACCTGATGGAGCCCCCCGGCGGCGCCTGTTTCCATATCAGACGTGGCGAGGGGGGTGTGTCCTCTCTGCTCCCTCTCTCCGAGCGCTGTTTGCTGATGCCGGGAGCCGGAATATGACATCATATTCCGGCTCCCTGCATCAGACAGCCCGCGTGGCGAGAGGGAGCAGAGAGGACACAGCCACCTCACCGCGTCTGATATGGAAACAGGCGCCCTCCCCACTGGACCCCAGGGACAGGTACATGCCAGCTCTCCAGGTAAGGAGGCTGGGTGGACATTTTTTTATTTAAAATAATAATAATAATAAAATAATAATTTATGAGTGTATGTGTGTTTCTGTGAGTGTGTGTGTGTGTATGTGTATGTGTGTCTGTGTGTATGCGTGTCTGAGTGAGTGTGTGTGTCTGAGTGAGTGAGTGTGTGTGAGTGAGTGTGTGTGTGTCTGTGTGTCTGAGTGTGTGTGTGTCTGTAAGTGTGTGACCTCTGAGTGGGACGGGGGTCAGAGACACATGGAGGAGAGGGGAGGGGGGACTGAGAAACATGGAGGGGAGGGGGGACTGTGACACATGGAGGGAAAGGAGGGGGAACTGAGACACATGGAGAGGTGGGGGGTCTGAGACACAGGGAGGGGATGGAGGACTGTGACACATGGCGGAGAGGTGGGAATGTGACATATGGAGAGGAGAAGAGGGGGACTGAGACACATGGAGTGGAGGGGCTACTGAGACACATGGAGGGGGGGAGCTGTGATACATGGAGGGGAGAGGAGGGGGAATGAGACAAATGAAGGGGAAGGTGGACTGTGACACATATTTGGGAGAGGAGGGGGTCTCAGACATATCTCTATGAAAAGCCTCTGATTGGACAATTTTCTGTGAAGTCACTTTCTGATAGCAAAAAAAGGAGGGATATGCACTCTCATCACCTGTAGACCTCGGTGCACTGTATCTAGGACTGGCAAACCCATAATCCATATAGTAACTGCAAACTAGTCCAGGCACTCAAGGTCTTTTTCCATCAGCAGATTTATTGGGAAAAAATGACAGATACAGCAACGTTTCGATCACTTCCAGCTTTGACCAGCGGAGGAACAAAGTGTGCTTCATTTCAGGTGATCAAAGCAATTTCCCCACAATTCTCACCTTTGATCCGTGATCTTGCGATGCTTCCTGTCAGTATTCCCGAACGTCCTGTCACTTAGACAAAACTCTGGCAAAATTACCGAATGTCATCCTAACAGAATGAGAACAGTCTGTTCATTCATGTTAGGACGCAATTCGGGACTTTGTTTGGATCCGTCTTGCAGCCGCTTAGTAGATAGCTCTCAAATTTTTACGGTATCAGGGATCTATCTACCAAAAAGCTGAAAGACCAATTTAGGTCTTAGCCAAATTTACTAATACTAAGTAAAGTAGGGGCATGTCTGGTAAACAGTGAGCAGCCAGTGGCTATCGTCCCCCTTCCCCCCCCGACCCTCACCCATGAGCGGCGGGTGTGGGACCTAAATGAAAATGGGGGGGGAACATATTGTGCTCCCCCCTGGCCCCCACCCATTAGTGGCGGGCGGGGGCCCTAAATTATAATAAGGGAGGGGACCTAATGTCCTCCCCCACAGCCCCCACCCCTGAGCGGCAGGTGGGGGCCCTAAATGAAAATCTGGGGGGAACCTATTGTCCTCCCTCCTGGCTGCCATCCCTGAGTGGCGGGTGGGGGTCCTAAATTACAATATTTGTCTTACAATATTGTCTTCCCCCCCGGCCCCACCCTTGAGCGGTGGTTGGGGGCCCAAAATAACAATAAGGGGGGGACCTATTGTCCTCCCCCCACACCACACCCCTAAATGGTGGGTGGGGGCCCTAAATGAAAATGTAGGGTGGACCTTTTGTCCTCCTCGATGGCCCTCACCCCTGAGCGGCGGGTGGGGGCCCTAAATTACAATAAGGGGGGATCTATTGTTCTCCCCCCCGGCCCCCACCCCTGAACGGCGTGTGGGGGCCCTAAATGAAAATGTTAACTCCCCCAAGCACCTAATCACCCCCACCCAAAACAATTTTAATAAACCCCTACCTACACCCTTCACCCTAAAAATAGTGAGGGGGGAACAAGAGAACTAAATACCTGTAAAAACTAAATAAAACTTACCATTTGATGTCTTCTTTTTTTCTAAAATAAAATAAAATAAAAGTCCATAATACCCGTCGCACTTTGAAAATATAATAAATTGTGACGGGTAAATAATTGGGTAAATAATCCATCTTCACCCATGGAGGGCACGGCGCAGAATTAGCTCCCCAGGACGGAGAAAGGCTTATAAAGGCCCTGCAATTAGGCTCAGAGCGCTCTGATTGGTTGGTTTAACCAAACAATCAGAGTTCTCTGACAGGTAAATGAAGAGACTGACAGGTAAGTCTCTAAATTTACCTGTCACTGCACTCTAATTGGTTGGCTTGAAATCCAACCAATCTGTGCCAAGGTAGCAAACAGCGGCTTTCAATCCATAAAATTCCCAATCACGAATGGGACCAGACAGGGTTGCCCCCTTTCCCCCCTCCTTTACGTTCTAGCCCTAGAACCTTTAGCGCACCTCATACGAAATGACCCACAGATACAGGGAATTAATGCAGGGAACACGGAACACAAGATCACAATGTTTGCAGATGACATTATGCTAACAATCACGAATCCACGCACGTCACTACCACGTATCAAGGCCCACTTATCGGCATACAGTGCCTGCTCATATTATAAACTAAACATAACTAAGACAAAGGCAATGCACCTCTTCTTATCACACAAGACACTAAGCAGTTTGAAGGCTACATATGCGTATCAATGGGACAACAATAGTCTCACATTCCTAGGTATAGACTTCCCAACCGATCCTCAACTCCTCTTCCAAGTTAATTATGGAACGATAGCCAAAGAAATCAAACAACGATTATCTACCTGGAAGGGAAAGTATGTATCCTGGCTCGGCCGAATAGCGGCCATAAAAATGATCCTTCTCCCCAAACTGCAGTACTTATTCCGCACTCTACCCATTGCACTCCCACCAACCTACCTGAAAAACATCCAAAAGACATTCAGTGACTACATCTGGAATTACAAAAAACCTAGAGTAGCAGCTACGATTCTCCATAGACCATTCAAAGAAGGAGGCCTAGGTGTACCCAACATAGCCAAGTACTATACAGCATCGCAACTGAACCCACTAATTTCCGTACACCATTCCAATACCCTGCCGACCTGGCTCAATATAGAGGCTTCACACACAGGAAACCACACGCTCAAAGAACTCATGTGGCTCCCATCCCATCTCCGACCCAAATACGACCATATCCTACCTACCACATCCTTAACTCTCTCTATGTGGGATGCACATCAACAGCAAACCAAAGAAAAAGTCACAATTTCGCCTTCCACCACTCTTATCGCAATCACGCCCCTTCTCCCCACATTCGCTGTGGCACATTGGACTGCATGCGGAATCTCCCAAATACAACAACTACTAGATGGCCAAACCATACATTCATTTCTACACCTACAAACTAAATATGGACTGCCCAAATCTGCCTTTCTCTCCTATCTCCAGATTAAATCTTGGCTCACAAGGCACTTGCCCATAACAGCTACAGACACACACAAAACAACAAACTCCTATATACCTCAAATTGTGGAACTTTGCACTAAAAAACGAAACCCCACGAAAATCATTTCTTCGCTATACGCACTCATTACAAAACAGCCTCATACAGGGAAACCCTCCTTTACAAGGCATGGGAATCAGACTTCAGAGAAACACTAGCTAGCTAACAAGACACTTACCTTGTGCGCTACTCATATAGAATTAACCAGGAAGATCCTCTACAGATGGTATATGGTGCCTACGAGACTCAAACACATGGACCCTAACAGGTCAGATCTATGCTGGAGGTGCAAATCAGAACCGGGCACCATGTACCACATATGGTGGACATGTCAAAAAATTACAAGGTTCTGGGAATCGGTGAGGCAAATAATACAAGACTCAGCTGGGGTAACGATACCATTAAAACCCGAAATCTACCTATTGCAACTCCTCCCAAGTAACATGCCAAAGCCTGTAAAATATCTGTCCTACCATATTATAGTAGCAGCTCTCTCAACAATCAGTAAAGCATGGCTCTCTGAGGCCCCTCCAAACGTTAATTTAAGTATCCAAACGGTACAAACCACTAAGTCATATGAAGTTATGGCTAGACAGACCAAACCCCCCAAACCTTTCTGGAGGGAGGCATGGAAACTATGGGAATCATACCTACCCAACAGGGAAGTGGCAACCCTCGCCCACTCCACCTCTTGTCTCTGAGACCCGCTCAAATTGATACGCAAACATTTAACCACACACGCCTTCACATACAATGATTGGCATATAAGGACGAAAAGTGTTCCCCCCCCCCCCAGTTTGCATTCCTATCTAGCAAAAGGAAAAGATGCAAGAAGAGGTTACACTGCAGCCTGAGCTCTACACAGAGACGATAGGTTGCGATAGACACGGGGCTACATGTACTGATGCACAGATGTAAACGAGAAATTGCAATCTGAAGTTAATGTTTTCTTAGCGACCCTGATCACTTGTTGCACTCCTTTAGAAAAAGATAATGTACACAAAACAGCGAAGTTCCCTAAAATGTAACAGCAACTAAAAAGGCAAACCTTTTGAACAACAGCTAATGTGCTTTGTGTCTGTTGTAACCATTGTAACCACTGCTCCTCTTCTGTAACCACTGCGCTTTTACTTGTATATTCATTTATCTTGTTGCGACATAAAACCAATAAAAAAGAATTATACCGAAATCCAACCAATCAGAGTGCTCTGTGTTATATTACACAGCCTGGGAAAGTTATTTGGAATTTTCCCATGCTGTGTAATTTGACTCATAACTCTCTGATTGGTTGTTTGATTAGAATGAAATTCTGATCCGAACAAAGTCCCGAATTGCGTCCTAACACGAATGGAGAGACTGTTCTCATTCTGTTAGGACAAAATTAGGTAGTTTCACCGGTGTTCTGTCTAAGTGACAGTTCAGGAATACTGACAGGAAGCATCACAAGATCATGGATCAAAGGTGAGATTTGTAGAAAATTGCTTTGACCACCGGAAACGAAGCACACTTTGCTCTTCCGCTGGTCAAAGGTGGTCAAGCGTAGGAAACCTCCATAAGACAATGTAGTCTTATGTTTTAAATAAAACTAGAGCAGAAATGAAGAACAGATCCTGACAGAGGGAGAGAAGAGGTATCGAAAAAAGAAAGTTAAGTTTGGAATGACAGTGCTGCCTTAAGCTAATTTACACACAATCCATCAGTCACACAAAATCTCACAGAAGCAAAAACTGTGCATGTCTTGGATCATGGAGTACAACATAGAGTTACCTGAGTACTGAAACACAACACAAGGAATGAAACATAATTAATAGAAATAAAAGCAGGTCTCAATGGTGGGAGCATATTCATTAACATACAATGGGCATAATAAAAGTAAAATGAAAACAAAAAAAACATGAACAAGCTGCCTTAAAAGTGTAAATACCAAGCTCCACTTCATCAACAAGAAACTAAACCCATTCTGCTAAACAAGGCTGAAATAATTTTTCTGTTACGTGCTCGAAAATGAATTGTATTTGAGTACAAAAAAAATAAAATAAACATTCATGACAATCAATAAAAGATTCTGAAGCTACCGAAGGAAAGCGACAGACTATGTGAGAGGGAATAGAAACAGTAAAATGAATATGCTCTAACTGGAAATGTAGGATTTCACCTAATCCTATAAAAGAAAAAAATTAATATCACCCTAAGGTGCAGATATCCAGGAGCTTAGAGATAAATAGATCTAATACTGGTATAGAAGAAATGAAGTATATATGACTTTAGACATACAGTCTTACACACAGAATTATAAACCAGAGTTCAGATTAGCATAAATATGCAATATATGTTTGATGATACTTTTAATGTTTGAAAATGTAACAAAGATTAGAAAACCAGTTGATTGTTAGTAATTTACTTAAGATATATAAACTACTGCCCGTAAGGGAGATTGCATGCCTCTGATGAAGTAGGGCTAACCCTACGAAACGCGTAAGGCAAGGCATTCTACGGTTGAACTTGGGAGGAGACAACCAGGTCTCTACAATCTCTCCTGCGGATTACAACACTCCGGACCCGGTATCCAGCTACATCGGTGTCTCCCTCGCGAGTTCCAGCTCCACCCCTCGATGTGAGGTCAGAGGCGGAGGATACAGGGACTCAGACGCCGTCCTCACCGGCTTCAAGGAGGGAGAAGAGAAGGATCTCCTATCTCTATCCAAACCCATCCGGGTCTGGATCACAGGTTACAAACTTTTTTCCATCTGAGACACAATAGACTGTACTCCTACCTCAATATTTCACCGTTATTTTTCATTTTAAAGTTTTTTTACCTTTTTTATTGTAAAATAAATTCTACATGATTTTATCTATCAACTTGGTTTTCCAGTGAACATTTTTTCAAGGTGACTGTTTATTTAGACACTTAGTTTATCTATACTAAACTGCCATTTGACTTTGTATCTTTCTTAAATATTATAAATATTTTAAGTAGATTATATTCATAGGTGCTTTGTTTACCCTGCATTGTCATTACAGGCCGAGTCATACCTACTTGTGATACAAAGTAACATAAGGATCTGTTACAGATTATGGAACAGTTACCATTTTCATTATAATAAGGACTATTACTTGGGACAATTTACTATTTTAGTACTGAACTGTAATCCCATTGTGATACACACGGGATCTTTATACATTGTCAATTTATGCTAATCTGATTTATACTCTGGTTTATAATTATGTGTGTAAAACTGTATGTCTAAAGTCATATATACTTAATTTCTTCTATACCAGTATTAGATCTATTTATCTCTAAGCTCCTGGATATCTGCACCTTCGGGTGGTTTTAATTTTTTTTATTCAGGACAATCACTCCAAAACAGAGATGCAGTGTCATCATAGAATTTAAAAAAAATAAAATAAATACAATTAAAATAAATATATACAACAGTAATACTTTGAATCAAAGTACTCGAGTGAAGCAACTCTTTTGAGAGTGCTCCACTCATTAATAATACTCACAGGTGTAGGAAATGGGAAGAAATATGACAACAAATCTCCCCCCACCTAGAAAATATTGTGTAGCTTTTAAGTTCATGTGTTTTAAGGTTTACTAAAAATAAGAAAAACAAAACATATGTTAAATGATTTATTCCATTTACTAGTAGACATCCTAATGATAATACAGGCATCCCAAGGAGGACAGTCCTGACTTCCGGGTCCTGTACCGACATCCCAACTTCCCAGTTCCATGGTGTCCCACTTTTGGGTACATAAAGGAACTGTCCCCAACAAGCATAATGCAAGCACATCATTAGACATGCTCAGGCTATGTTCAGGGCAATAAGACCATGCAGAGAGCACTGAATCATTCTGCCCTCAGTAAGCTGGCCTGGCTGATTGGCTGGCAGGCTGGTCTGTCATATCTATGGGCAGAACTGCCCCCTGTATGGGCACGTACGCACCTATAGGAAAAGTCAGTGAAGTATATCACATCATTGTCTCACCCTCTTTTCATCCCTCCTTCTGGCGTCCTGTTTCACATCAGAGTTAGGAGGTATGGTAATATAGTATTTCGTTTTGCCTGTAGAAAGCTACATGGTTTAATGTATGTTAATCAGCTACAACATAACATACATTAAAACCACTGACAGGTGAAGTGAATAACATTGATTATATTGTTACACTGGCACCTTTGTATTAGGCAGCAAGTGAACAGTCAGTTATTGAATAAAATGTGCTGGAAGCAAAAGAAATGGGCAAACGAAAAGAGCTGAAAAACTTTGACAAGGGCAAAATAATGATCGCTAGATGGCTGGGTCAGAGAATCTCCAAAATGGAAAGTCTTGTTAGGGTGTTTCTGGTATGCATTGGTTAGTACCTACCAAAAGTAGTGCAAGACTCGTTGCTAAACATGGGGAATGAAGGCTAGCCCGCCTGGTCTGATCACATAGAAGAGCTACTTCAAATTGGTAAAAAAACTTAACATTGGCATTACCTCCACCTCCACCAGATCACATAGAAGAGCTACTGTACTTCAAATTGGTAAAAAAAATTAACGTTGGCACCACCTCCACCTCCACCAGATACATGACGATTGGGAGGTATGACTGTTTTAGTGTTTTCTATCAATACAATTCTATAATAAGGCCCATAATTGTCAGCACCAAGGTCAATGGGCTCTTAATATGGCCCTGATTTTTGTATTAGTAATGGTGTCCATTAAAAGAACCCACCAAACACGTAAAGCAATTCCTAAAGTGCTTTACATGTAAAATAATCATCTCTTTTGTCTTATTTTATAAAAGTGCAGATTTCAAGAGATATCTGCACTTTTATAAATGTTTTAAGTTGCATCCTTTCTACTTTCAATCAGACAGTCTGCCTCTGTTGGGGACTCACTCAAACTGGAGGCGAAGGCTTCTCAGTGCCTCTCTATGAGATGTATTCTGTTAACACAATGCAGCAATTACTAGATGTCCCAATTCACCTCAATGCACCCACTATAGCCCTTATGCCTTCCTGCAGTCACTACAGTCTTCATCCCTCCCTCCACCCACTTCAACCCCTATTCCTCTGCACTAGCTACTACCCCTATCTTCCCTGCACCCACTACAGCCCCTATTTCCCTGCACCAACTACTATCCCTATTGCCCCTGCACCCACTACAGCC